AGAAAAGTAAGTGAATTCTAAGACAACGAGGGAGCACAGCGATAAGAAAGACACGAATTATGGGAACTTAGAGAGCCCAGTGACGCCAGGTACGTGTCAGGAGGCTTTCCTCGAGCCGTTACCTGAAAGGGGGCCATAAGGCGGCTGAGGACATTGCAGTTGTTTACCGGCGGTAAAGTGCAGCCCAGCATTACACAATTCGCTAAAAATGGAGCTATCGCTTGGAAAGATTTAGGCTCCGCATCCTTGGACTGGACTGGCAGCTACCGAGGCCTAATGTGATTGGTCGAGGTCCCCCGGCTGTGCTCCGCCCCCTAGCAGCCTCCGCCGAAGGGGAGGGGTACTCGGTCGGGTGGGTGTCTCACGCCTGGGGTTCCTGGGCTCTTGCAGCTGCGGACCGCGGCCGCTGCAGTCCCTTCCCGAAATAGACCTTGTTTCTCCGCGGTTGACAAATCTGGATCCGGCGCGGGAGGAGCGGCCAGGGAGACGGCGCTCATTGGCTGCGCAGCGGCGCGCCGAGAGGCGGAGGAAGGCCGATTGGTCGCAGGCTCGCCGGTCCTAATCAGGTCAAGGCCTGCCAGCGTCGCAGGGTGCTGCCGCCAGGGGGAGCTGGGCAGGGAGATGTGGCCTCGGCGGGGAAGGGGCCCAAGGATCTGAGAGATCGTCTAGGTTCCCTCCCAACCCTTGGTTCCTAGGGCGAGCCTGAGCTAACTCTAGAGCTTATTTGTGCTCCCTCCATCATCGAGTCCTAGGACGAAACGGGGGTGGGGTGGGATGGGGGGAGCGCTGGGCTGGAACGAGGCGAGCACATCCAGGGCAGATTCTTTTAGTAATTGTCTGGCTTTTTGTGGACCCTGGGGCTCTTGCCTTCCAGGAGGCAGTCCGAGGCTGCATGTGGAGTAGAGCTGGCGCCGGGAGTAGCTTCGCTTGTGAGCCCTTCCAACTGGGAGGAGGCCTTGGGAGAAGAGTTCGAGGTCACCCCGGGTCTGATTTCTCAGCATTCCTGGCCCCAACTCACTTTCTGTCATGCTTGTTGAACGCACATCTACAAGAAATAGATTCCTTTTTTTGTTTGGAATTTTAGTCCTGACAGCCAGCACCCCCCTCCACTTTGCACCCGACAGCTCCTCCATATTCTTCATGGTTTTGCTAACATCACCTCCTTGCCGTTGTTCTGGACCTCCGGGGCGAGCTGAGGACAGTAACAAAATCCCACCCCAGTGCAGCTGGTGAACCAATGGATTTAACTGAGGTCCGTGACAACTTACGGGCAGGTACGCTACCAAAGAAAAGGTTTCCCTCCTTGTAACCCTTAACTCTGGCTATCTTGAGCCCCGCCCCCTGTAACCATTAACTACCCAGGTGAGTCCCGCCCCCTCCAGTGACATAGTTAATGGTGTATGCAGGTTATCTACAGATAATCACAGCTGCTGAGGAAGCGGTCAAGAGGACAACAGCAGTGTCATGCCAGGAGAGGAGGGATAGGTTCTGGGCAGCCAAGCCTTGTAAATAATGTATGATCTGAAAAGAAAAAAAAAAATACCCTCTAGGAACTTAGGGTTTTGATGTGAAATAGGGTGGTAGTATCTCATAACGATCTTACTATCATGGGGATCAACTGTAAAGGCTGATCCTGCTGCTGTTACCTGTGCTCCAATGGTGCTTTGCCTGGGCCTTTTAGTAGCGCTTGCTCTTTGTCTGAACTACCCTGTTCACAACCTCCTTGTCCATCAGTGCCGGGTAACTCGGAGGCGGTGGTTCTCAACCTATGGGTGGCGACCCCTAGAGGGGTCAAATGACCTTTTCACAGGGGTCGCCTAAGACCATTGGGAAACACAGATATTTACATGATGATTCATAACAGTAGCAAAATTACAGTTATGAAGTAGCAACAAAATTAATTTTATGGTTGGGGGTCACAGCATTAGGAAGGCTGAGAACCACTGATGTAAAGCTATGAAGTTATTTCCCAAAACTTTTCAAAGCACATTTTCTTCTTTCTCCGCCTTTCCTTTACCATTTGTCTTTTCCTCTTCAAAGGCTTTTTGAAAATTGGAATTTCACACTTAGAGAAGCTAGGCCTCCAGGCGGGAAGATGAGGCCTTCTTTTCCTCCACGGTGACCTGGAAGATCTAGACCTTCCTCTCAGTTTGATAACTTTCCACAGGGCTCTTCTTGGTTATAAGTCTCCCTTCTCTTGCCGAATCAGAATGCTTGTGATTGCTAATTTCTCTCTGGTCTTTTGATATGTATATAAATCTTGGAAACTTACCGCCAGTTTCATGACTTAGAGAACTGAATGTCCATCCTTAAGGAAGATGGTGCCCCATCTCTCGGTCTGGGGGTGTGGTCAGAACCTGACTCCAAAAAGTTAAACTAATGTCTTCTTAAAGACATAGGACAAGCTTACTTTTCCCTTAGGTAACACCAATTAGCGACACAGGGTCCCCTTTCCTCTCCAGCACAGCCCCTCCCCCTTCTTAAAAACTATTTTTGTTCAGCTTACAAAGTATTAAGGTCTACAAAGTAGATCTCATGAGGCCTTTTCTTACCCTCTTGATTTTTGTTAATCGTCTTGACCTTTCTCTTCCTGTACTCATCCATGCTTAAACCTTCCCAGCTCCTGGACCATCCCTTTGCTCTCTCCCCTCACTTGAGCCCCTCCCCCTACACAGCCCTGGACCCCTTTCTAACTTCCTTGTTCCTACAGACGGTCCAAGTTAACCACACAAATCTGCAAGTTTGACTCTAGGACCCACACGTTCTAGAACATACATCATTTATCTTTTTGTACCTGGGTTACCTCAGTATAATGTTTCCCCGTTCATTCCATTTTCCTACAAATTTCATTTTTTAGTGATGAATAAAATTATATTATATATAGCTACTATATTTTCAATGTCCATTCTTCAGGCGATGGGCTTCTAGGCTGATGCCATTTTCTAATTATTATGATTATCCTGAGCCTCTGATTCAGGATCTAGAGCCCTGTGTATCTGCCCAGAAGTGTTACAGCTGGATCATGTTAGTTCTCTTTTCAGCTTTTGGAGACACCTTTGCAGTGCTTTTCTCAGTGGCTGCACCACTTTACACTCCCACCCACAATGAATGAGGGTCTACTCTCTCTGCAGCCACAAGAGTACTTTGAAGAAAAAGGCTGGCATCATTCTTTCCTTTTATTCTCTAAACACTTTTTACACTTATTTATTTTTGTGAATGTGTGCGTACACAAGCGCCTACATGCTACAGTATCGATAAGAAGCGCCAAGGACAACGTGTGGGAGTAGGTCTCCTCTTGGATCTTCTTCCATCAGTATGAGTTCCAGAAGTGCCTTACTTGCCTTACTGCAAGCTCCTTTACCCGATGAGTCATCTCACTGACCCAGTCATTTATTTCCGTCCCTCCCTCCCTTCCTCCTTCTTTCTTTCTTTCTTTCTTTCTTTCTTTCTTTCTTTCTTTCTTTCTTTCTTTCTTTCTTTCTTTCTTTCATGAGACATTGTCTCAATACATAACACCGACTGTCCTAGAACTCACTCTGTAGACCAGGCTGGCCTCGAACTCACAGAGATCCACCTGCCTCTGCCTCCCGAGTGCTGGGATTAAAAGTGTGCACCACCACCACCACCTGGCAGACAGTTTCTTTTTGCTGTATAGATGCCTTTTAATTTCACGAGGTCCCATTTGTTGCTTGTTAGCTGGAGCCCTACTCAGAAAGCCCTTACCTATACCAGTATCTTGAAGTGCACCCCTACTTTCCCCCCCCCAGCATCTTCAGCATTTCAAGTCTCATGTTGAGGTTCTTGATACATTGGAGTTCATTTTGGGACACCTGCAGGTAGACATCAGTTTCCGCAGAACCATTGGTTGAAGAGGCCGTCTTTCTGCAAAGTGTGTCTTTAGCATTGATCTTAGTTTCTTTTCCCATTGCTGTGTGAGATACCCCAACAAAAGCGGTAAAACAGAAGGAGTTTATTGCAGTTCACAGTTCAAGGGCGCACAGCCTATGATGGCTGGGAAGGGAAGGCGGCAGGAGCTTGAAGCAGCTGGTCACAAGGTATGCACACACAGGAAGCAGAGAGCGATGGAGGAAGAGTGTGCTCTGCTACCTTGCTGCTTCCTGTACAAAACTGGGAACGGTGCTGCCCACCTCGAGTGTGGCTCTTCCCACCTCAGCTAACCTCATCAACATAGTTCTTCACCGGCATGCTCAGAGGCTGAACAATTCCTCACAGGTATGCTGGAGGCTCGACCCCCAGGCGATTACAGATCCTGTAAAGTTAATGATGCACACTACCTTGGCCTCTGTCAAAAATCAGATGGCTGTAGTGACATGGGATTTTGTCTGGGTCTTCTAGTCAATTCCACTCATCTGCATGTCTGCTTTGGTGCCAATATCATGTTATTTTTAACTAGTCTGGCTCTGTCATGTAACTTGAAACAATGTTGCAATACTTTAAGCGGTAATCCTTTTGCGCAGACTTGCTTTTGTATTTCCATATGGATTAGATATTTTAGTCTATTTCTGTGATGAAGGGCCCAGGGATCCATTTGCAAGGGCAGTCTTCTCATCTTCTAGCATCTTCCTCAGTTTCTCCCTTCAGTGTTTTGAAGCTTTCACTGTAGAGGGCTTTGTGTGTGTGTGTGTGTGTGTGTGTGTGTGTGTGTGTGTGTGTGTGTGTGTGTGTGTGTGTTGAATGGGATTGTTGCCTGCATTTCTTCTTCAGCATGTTGTCATTGGCAAATAGGAAGGCTGTTGATTTTTGTCTGTTAATTTAGTATCCCGTTGCATTGCCTAGAAAAGCTCTCGAAAATCCCTCTGGTGCGGACTTGAGTTCAATCTCCAGTTGTAATAGTTTTAAAGTCTCTCGTGCCTGTTTAACCTCCTTGTAGGTTTTTTTTCTTTAACATGTAGACTCTACCTGTATTGCTTTTTCTACATATCAGTGCTGTCTCATTTCTTTCTCTTTACCAGATTTCATACATTTTTCTGATTTCTAGATACTCACAAGAATGTAGTGCCATGGAGCGAAGCTATTGCCGTGAGTCTGCCGTTACGGAGGGCAGGCAGCAAGTGATGCGCAGGATGCGGACCGAATATTGTCTCTGTTTGATGGCCTTCCAAATGGAGCGCATTCCCACTGTCAAGGAGCACTAGAGAAGCAAGAAACAGCCTATCCCTTTAAAAAGAAAACCTATCTGTTATCAAAGGGGCTTGAAAAATATGCCATTTGAAAACAAAGAAGACCACTAACAACGGGGGTCTGGTTAAGGGAAGAAGGTCGAGGAAGCTGGAGAGAATCAGACAGAGGCTCCTGCGGTGGCAGAGTGAGCGTGGGTAGTGTTCCTCGGAGTACCAAGAATAAAACACATCTATTTACAGTGAGAAGGCAGGGGAAGGGATTTAATTAGGAATTCAGTCAAAGATGGAGGAGCAGGAGGAAGGCAGTAGGGTGGGCGGGCCATGATTTGGGTATTGTAAACATGAGGGAACCAGTGGCTTGCGGAGCTTGGTAGGGGCACTTCCTTATATGGAAAGGCAGATGGTTGTGTCACTGAAAGAAACCGAAGGATTTAGAAGAAGGGGTTTGAAACACTGACCTCCCCCACCTGCCCTCCCCAGCAACACACAAACAATAAAGCTATGTAGTGTTGGCATTTGGGGGGTTTAATGGAGGGTAGTCAGTCCTGAAACCATATACGAACAACAAAGACAGACTCAGTAAGTTGTATTTATATATATTTGTGCATACACATACATACATACATACATACATACATACATACATACATGTTACAATAATAAAGAAAAAGAGGCTATCAACATGGGGGTGTGGGTTTGAGGGAGGATAGCTGGGAGGGCCTGGAGGGTGGGAAGAGGAATGTAATTCTTTTTCAACTAAAAATACATTTAAAAACAAACTAATATGGCATATTAAAAGGTTGAAAGATCATTTATTCCTCAATGTATGTGCAAAACTTATCCTGGGGAATGGCGTGTAAAAGAATTATACAAGCAAGATAGAGTTCAATGCACTTATTCACTGAATCCTGAGGAACACAGAGGAAAATTTCAGGAAAGCCTCACATTTTCTTAAGGAAAGTCCATGGAAAACCAACTCTGGAAATGAAGTCAGAAGTGAGCCTTAGACATCAGGAGGAACTTCCAGCTCTGAGCCTGGTGCCAAGGAAGCTGCAAACTCTAGATCCTCTCCAGAATTGGAGAGCAAGGGCTGGGAAAACTAACCATTCGCCCCTCATTGAAGGAAACTTCTCCAGAGGGCTTCCTTCTGGGCAAGTGCAGCCTAAGCCAGGTTGCCTCTCCCAAGGGCCCTCCCCATGGCCCCCTTCATTTCCTTGTTGCGGAAGCTGTAGATGATGGGGTTGCACATGGGCATGATGATGGTGTAGAGGAGAGAGAAAGGCTTGTCTTTGTCAGGCCCATGGGTGCTGCGGGGATTCATGTAAGAGAACATGGCTGAGGTGTATAAAAAGATGACCACAGTCAAGTGAGAGGCACAAGTGGAGAAGGTCTTCCCCCTGCCTGAGGAGGAGGCTCTGCTGAGGATGGAGGTCAGGATGCGGGCATAGGAGGTGACAATGAGCACCATGGGGCTGAGCAGCACCACGATGGCATCAAGAAAGATCAACTTCATGCTGAACTGAGGGTCCCCACAGGAGAGGGCAATCACTATGGGGGCCTCACAGAAGAAGTTTTCTATGTGGTTGTCTTTGCAGAAGGGATTCCGGAATGATATATACTCAAGGAAGATGCCATTGACCATCCCAAAGATCCAGGAAGAACACACCAGCCTGACACACACCTGCTGGCTCATGATCTGGGCATAGTTCAGTGGGTGGCAGATTGCAACATAACGGTCATAGGCCATGAAAGCCAAGAGGATGCACTCGGCTACACCCACTAGAAAGACCAAGTACATCTGGGTCATACAGGAGGCAAAGGAGACCGTGTGGTCCTTGGTCACCAGATGGATCAACATCTGTGGGATGGTGGTGGTGATGAAGCAGATGTCCAGGAAAGACAGGTGTCCGAGGAAGAAGTACATGGGGCTGTTGAGCCTGGGGTCAGTCCAGGTGATGAAGATGATGAGGCCGTTCATGGCCATGGCGAGGCTGTAGAGAGCCAGGAAGAGGCTGAAGAGCAAAGCTCGGGTGGAGGGGGAACTCTGCTCAAAGCCCACGAGGATGAACGCGGTCACTGTGCTGCTGTTCCTCAGGTCGGCTGTCTGGGGCCTGTTTGAGGAGGGGGGCAGGAAAAGCACAAAGGACACAGTTGTGTGGAAGGTGAGATGTTCCCCTGGACCCAGAAGCCCAGCAAGAGGCTTTCCCTGGTGACAGTGACAGTTTGGGAACTTAGCAATCTCTGGTAAGAAAATGCCAGGGTCACCAGAGGCTCTCTACATAAATTCTAGTTTTAGAAGTTGAGGAAGCGATGGTTCCCCTTTAGTCTCGATCGCTGAGATGCTCTGTGAGATGATGCATGTGGTCCAGGTCCTTCAACATCAAAGGACGGCTTATGGCCAGGATATGTTCAGAGGGGAAAGAATAAAATAGCTGTGCCTGGGGCTCATGTCAGATGAGGGAAGTTCAGAACCCAAGGGATGGAGTGTGTGATGGAAGGAAGCTGGTGATTAGCTTAATGAGGGTCATTTGTAGGATCCACCTGAGATATTTGAAGGCATATTGTGTAATCTTTTTCTTTTCATTTCAATTCATTTCCTTCCTTCCTTTTCTCTCTCTCTCCCTCTCTTTCTACCGTCCACTCTTTCTTTTTTGAGACCAAGTCTCATGTAGCACCAGATGGTCTTGAACTCTCTATATTGCCAAGGATGGCATTGAACTCTGGCCTCTATTTCCCAAGAACTAGAATTACAGGCAGATGCCATTATAGCCAACATGAAGATGGTATTTTCTAAATGAGGACGACATTCAGTCATTTTGTACCTATTTGAGGTGCTGAATGGACTGAGCTTTTGGGGGAAACTAAGCAGGGCTGTCTCTAAAGTGGGAGTGGCCAACAGGCGGTCATGTCTAGCTGTCTACTGTGATGGATCTTTCCTCAGACTCACTCTCTGGTCATGGTTGCTGCTGTACACCAGAGACTACACAGCGCACGCTGGAGATTAGGATTGCTTGTATTTTTTTTTTTTTAAATCAGGAAACCCCTTTCCCTCAGCAGTTGGAAGTTACCCACTATTTGGTGGAAATAAATCAGCCATCCTCGTGAGAAAGAATCTCTGTGCAGGCCACACACGTTCCAATCCTTTTGCCTCTGTGAGTCAATGGTGTTCATGGTACATCTTCAGAGACTTAGCTCTGACCACTGTAGCTTTCGGGAAGTCCCCACATTCACGCTAAATGGTTGTGCTTTTCGTCTTGTTTGGAGTTAAGATGTATGACATGCTTGTAAAGGCCCGGTGCACCTCGGCTTCACCTCCTTCTACCACCAGCTTTTTTTTTTTTTTTCCTATTTCCTTTTCTATACATCCTCACTCAGCCTTCGCTGTAAGCCCACTGTTCCCTTTGTCCGCCTCCTTCCATTTCTCACTCTGGGAAGCAGAAGACTCCCTCTAAGTGAGGTTTCTTGGTCAATCAAGGCCTCACCTGGGCCTGTTCCTACCATCTTCACGTTGGAAAGTTCTGGTGCCTAGGACTACCTCTGGTGGTCTGGAAAGGGAAGGGAAGGTGAGGACACAGTTTAGTACAGGCCCACAATCCTGCACTCAGCAGATGTGTTGGGACTAAGCTAACAAATGGTTGGGCAACATCAGTCTTCAGTGAGCTACAATCCACAGAATTCTTGGACTTGGCCAAGAAGAAGTTGGGATTTAACTCAAGGACGCACTAAGCGCCACTGAAGGACAAATGCTTGCCCGTAGTTCACTGAGAAGGAATAATATTCTGTGCTGGCCAGCATTGAGTGCCTTGGTAGATACCAGTAGCAGTTGGGCGGTCAGGTGTCCGCGTCAAGACGTGGGATGTTGGAAAGCAAACCACACCTACCTCATCCCGTGGCTCTGCTGCTCAGGCTTTGTCACTGAATCACTGTCCCTAGTGACAGAGATGGCATGGTGTTTGAGGAGGAGATGCTCCAGGGAGGAGGGTCTGAGCTGGGGGGCCACTCTGGAAGACAGTGGTGTCTGGTGACCTTTTCAGTTCTTTGACATCAATGCTATTGTAGACAAATGTCTTCTTAAGCAATATTACCACACTGCATGTGTACAGCACATTATGGATCAGGGAGAGCTGTCTGCCTCACATTGCCATTTGGTAATGCACACTCTTCTCTGCCTGCTTGTCAGATTGTGTGTTTTGACTCTCTTGCCCCTTTAAAGTTGTTTCTTTTTTTTTTTTTTTTCCAGATGGTTGTGAGCCACCATGTGGTTGCTGGGAATTAAACTCAGGACCTCTGGAAGAGCAGCCACTGCTCTTAACCTCCGAGCCATCTCTCCAGGCCCCCCTTTAAAGTTTTTGTGCCCATGCTTGACTTAAAAAATCCTATGCTTGCTGGGCAGTGGTGGCGCACGCCTTTAATCCCAGCACTCGGGAGGCAGAGCCAGGCGGATCTCTGTGAGTTCGAGGCCAGCCTGGACTACCAAGTGAGTTCCAGGAAAGGCGCAAAGCTACACAGAGAAACCCTGTCTCGAAAAACCAAAAAAAAAAAAAAAAAAAAAAAAAAAAAAAAAATCCTATGCTCTTCTGTTGATTTAAAAAGCACAAGAAAAAAAAAGAAAATGTTAATTCTCTAGTTTTAGAAAAGCATTAGTATTCTGTTGTAGAAAACAAACAAACAAAAACATTCTTACTCTCAAAAAACATTATTCTGCTGAAGAATGTCTTAAAAATGAATTGTAGAGGGGGCCAGAGAGATGTTTTGGTGGTTAAGATCACTTGCTGCTGCTCATCAGAGGACCAAGTTTGGTTCCCATCACCTACTTCTGGTGTCTCAGGACCATCTGTAACTCCAGTTCCAGTAGGTCCGATGCCTGTGACCTCTGTGGGCTCTTGCCCTCATATACACACACCCACATGTAGACACACACCTCCACATAATTAAAAACAATAAAATAATGAAATGGAGCCTGGAGAGATGGCTTAGCAGTTAAGAGCACTGGCTGCTTTTCCAGAGGACCTGGGTTCAGTTCCTAGCACCCACATGGCAGCTCATGACTGTTTGTAACACCAAATTCAGAGGGTCTGACACCTACCTTCACACATGCAGGCAAAACACTAATGCTCATGAAATAAAAATAAATAAATCATTTAAAATAAATAAGTCTTTAAAAATAAAAATAAAATAATTCTTAAATTTTAAAAATAAACTTATTTTGTTATTTTTTATGTGTATGGATGTTTGCATACACATATGTCTGTGTACTCCTTTTATGCATGGTCCCTGCAAAGGCCGGAAGATGGTGTCAGATCCCCTGGAACTGGAATTATACATGGTTATGAGCCACCATATGGGTGCTGGGAAGTGGACCTAGGCCTGCAGGAAGAGCAGCCAGTGCTCTTTCCCACTGAGCCATCTCTCCAGGCCTAAAATAAATCTTAAAAATAAAAACTAAATGGTAGACTGCTGTGGGATGTTCTGTATGGCAAATGTGTTGCTCTGATTGGTCAATAAATAAATCAATGATTTGCCAGTGGCCAGGCAGGAAGTATAGGCGGGACAAGGAGGAGAATAAAGCTGGGAAGTGGAAGGCTGAGTGAGAGACACTGCCAGTCACCATGATGACAAACAGCATGTGAAGATGCCAGTAAGCCACAAGCCAGGTGGCAAGGTATAGATTTATAGAAATGGATTAATTTAAGCTGTAAGAACAGTTAGCAAGAAGCCTGCCACAGCCATACAGTTTGTAACCAATATAAGTCTCTGTGTTTACTTGGTTGGGTCTGAGCGGCTGTGGAACTGGCAGGTGAGAGAGATTTGTCCTGACTGTGGGCCAGGCAGGAAAACTCTAGCTACAGTAGACATTGTTGTTACATCCTCTGCAACTAATCTTAAGCTCTGAAATGTATTTACAGTGGGTTTAATTAATAGTAATGGTGATATCAACGTACGTGTCTTTCTAGATGATGTGTCTGTATACATTCACACATACATTTCTGGGACTTTTTTGCTAAACCAGAAGAGCATCATAATTGTCCTCTACAGACTACATAGGGAAAAAGCACTGTGCACAAGTACATTGAGTCCCTGTTCTAAGATTGGAGGATCTGTGATCCCTTAAATTAGCAACAATTTTCAAAGTAGTTCGTATGCACCATATTGTCTGAGCCTGTATTTTGTTAATATCCCTTAATGAGGCAATTCAGTCTCATTGAAGATTTGCTGACTAGTTATATTGGACAATGAGCTGCACATGGTTTGGCAGTAGAACAGGACAGAGAATGAACTCTCTGTGGGTCTAGTGTTGTCATAGTTAACTGACCCATTGTTCTGATCATTTCAAAACCACCTGCAAGTAAAATAAGAACTTCCAAAATGTCCAAGAGCATCTCAGAGGAGCAGCTGTTTGTACTGGGGCATCAGCTATGTGAGAGTGGAAACTGGTCAACCATGGACATAACAAGGTAGATGAATAAAATGGTAGGCACTGTTAGGTAGGGAAGAGAGGCACCTCTCATATTTTTGCTATTTCCTTCCACATGACAGGGATCATCTGACTTTCTTTACTCCATCACAGAGGACAGGAAGTGGCCACCTGAGTGTTTTGTTTTTAATGAGAAACTTGTTACTTGTGTTCTCTAGGGTGGGTGTTACCCCTGTTTAGGAGGCTCTGGTGCTTCCAGTAGCTGGTGAATGAGCCAGCCTAACTGCAGGCACACAGAAGTCCACGTTGGCTTGTTTGTTGTTGTTGATAAAGGTCATATATTGACTCCTCTCTCTGTTGACTCCCCCTTCCCCCTTTTCTTCAGTTTATTCAGTACAAGATGAAAGAGCAGTAAGTACTTACTGGGCCCCTCAAAGTCCCAAGTAGTTATTGTTAACACTGATGTTATCCCATACATAAAAATACACTGTAAACAATGAAATATGATAGAGTTTGGGTTGTAATGAAAAGCAGCTCTTACACCTGTCAGAATGGCTAAGATCAAAAACACTGATGACAGCTTATGTTGGAGAGGATGTGGAGTAAGGGGAACACTTCTCCACTGCTGGTGGGAGTGCAATCTTGTTCAGCCACTCTGGAAATCAGTATGGCAGTTTCTCAGAAAATTGGGAATCAACTTACCTTAAGATCCAGCAATACTACTCTTGGGCATACACCCAAAAGATTCTCAACCATACCAAAAGGACACCTGTTCAACTGTATTCATAGCAGCATTATTCATAATAACCAGAACCTGGAAACAACCTAGATGCCCCTCAACCAAAGAATGGATAAAGAAA